ATTTTTCTAATTCTTTGTTATTTCAAAAATTTCCATTTTTCTTTAAATTTATCATAATTTATTACGATTAATCGTTCATTTTATTTTGCCTTTTTTTTCATCAGAAATTGATTGCTGTGAAAATTTTTTAGGTTTTGAGATAATTTCTTGAAAATGGCGATAGAAATACAAATGGGTCGCCAGTTCCATTCGGATTTTTTGATGACTAACACGTTTATTCGTGCGGGGATAGGAAGCAAACCCAATAAACTGAACTATTATTTATTCGATTATCTTGATGAATGTTGTTAGAAGAAAAAGGTGTACGTGTAAAAAATTAGTGCATTTTTTTCGCCGCTTTTGATATTTAAGTCGAATGCCGTTGAATTATGGCCTGTGCTATCTATTCTCGACTGATGCCAAAATTTCTCTTTGTTTTCCTCCTTCAAAATACTTGAAAATACTCATGGATAGCTTTTTTGCATACATATATACAATAAAACATTTTTTTTCTCATCCTCTGTGGGTGATCATCCTCAACCTCGGGTCCTTTACCAGATGTCTAGGAGATTGAGGGTGCGCAGTATCTCAACTGTTCCTAATAGTACGCTCTTCTGGATAGAGATCTCTGGTATTGTTTCTGGAATCCGAAGGTACCTTTTTACTTTCACAGTTGCATGTGCTCCTATTATCACAGGAATTACTTTGGCCTCTACTCCCCACATCTCCACTTCCTCTTTCAACCCTTAGTATTTCTCTAATTCTCTAATTCTCATATTCCTTCTTTCTGACGTTCCTGTCACTTGGTAGTGCTATATCTATCACCAGTGTTGATTTTTGATTCTTGTCTATTACCGCGATTTTGGTTGATTAGCCAGTACTTATTCGTATGTCTGGATGGAGAAATCCCACAGGATCTTCATTATTCTCTATTTTCTGAGGAATCTCCCATTTAGTGTTGGGAAAGTCTAATCCATATACCGAGCAGATATTCCCGTTGGTGACTCCATCTAATATATATATATATATATACAATATAATCTTCATATATATTTATAGTAGGATCAGTGATAACTGAAGTATTTGAAACTGTGATCCCTAAACTAGAAAAATGGCTTCAGCATATTCGAGGAACAACATCAGAGATCTCTGTCTAGAAGAACGCATTACTAGGAACAGCTAAGATACTGCGCAGAACCTTCAATCTCTCAGGTCTCTGGTAGAGGATCTGAGTTTGAGGATGGCTCTTATCACCCAAAGGGAATGAGAAAAAGATTTTTTTATATTTATATATAAAATCCTTATGGATTTTATATATTTTACCAAAATTCCCGTCATTTTCAAATACAGTTTTTGAATTGGATGGGATCGTAATTTCAATTTTCATCATTAAGAACATTAGAGAATATTAAGAATACTGCCACAGCCACCATACGAATAATATTGTTGATGAATATGGTAAAAAAGTAAAAATGATTTTTTTGAAATAGAAGTAAAAATATTAACGTATAATTCACGAATTTCGTCCATTAAACTCATATTCGCCGCTTAAACTTTTCAGTCATATCCAGCAAATAATTTCTTGATTTCGAGTTTCGTTGATTCGTGATTTAAATGAATTGATCCGATACACTTATTTACATTGGAAACACTGATCGTAGCGTTAAGATTCTTAGTATATCGAAATCATTGATTAAAGCTTGGCGTTATGAAATAACCGCAAAAGAAGTCAATTCTTTTAGCCAACAATCCTTCCTCTAACACGGCACTCATTATATTTTTGATTTGGCTTGTCTCGCTGATTGTTGGGTTGACGAAAAGCTTTTTGGTGAAGAGGCATTTGTGGATAAAAGTGCAGTTGGATCCACAGCACCACTTGGACTTCACCTTTTAATTAATGGCAACATAAAATTTTAGTTTTTGCACAAGTTTTGATATGAAAAACAATCGTCGAAAATTTGATCGAACCACCTATGAATAAAGATGAAGGAAGAACTTTTAGAATGAAAAAATATCTGATCTGCTCAACCATAACTAAATTATGAAAGGTATAAGAGAAAAACCAGTATGCTTTATTTTGGTCAAAAACAAGTTGAAAATGATTCTTTGCTCTCTCGCTAATTCATTTCATTTCTCCGTATTCATTAGCTATAGTTGAAATGTCCCACATTTTTCAACGACTAATTCTAAGAATAATGGAGAATTTTCCATTGTTCTTAGTATAAATTTTATAAAAGATTTAAAGACTTTTAAACATTCTTTTCCAATGAACTACCATGGCCTTCAATGATTCATTGTTAACTGACAACGTTTATTAATATTTATAATAGAATGGCGAGAAAAGAAAACTTGTGTAAATTTCGCGAAAAAAATCGCTGGCGTAGTAAAATTCGAATCGGGAACCACAATGGTCCTCCGCAGCTATCACAGCTATCAAAAAAGCTCGCACATGTGATTTTATCTCACAGAGAGTAATTGGGAAGATTTATATCCTCCATCCTTTTTGAATTTCACTTCATGCAATATTACCAATGTGTGCGTCTACGTAAAAAACTTATTTTTTCACATTTTCATTGTTTGACTTCAATTTCCTTTCATACTTGGTTACTGCTGGTTTTCAGTGATGGAAACAGGTGTTGCTTCGGTGAATTTACATTTTGAAATCGCAATTCAAAATTTAAACCAGTTTTTGAATTCAGCATAATTACACAGCTATTTTTCGAGAGCGAAGGCAAGAATGGTGTTTGACGAAATTTAAGTGAAATATCACTTTCTAGGTTTAGAAAATAAATCTCTCTAATAAGGTCGCAAAATATTTTCATTAAAACTTATAATAATTAAATTATTTTCTCGATAATTTCAACGATTCAATCGGTTTAATGGTTAATATATTGGTAAGATGAATTTTGTTATTCTTAGGTAATCCATCAGTCTAATTTCTTTCTCAGGCTAGTTGAATGGTAAACGAGTGGTTTAAATTATCATCTCGAGCATCACAGTTCAATCCGTGCCTCCGATAATTAAACGTGAAATCCGGCGGATGCAAGGAATCCATCTGCAGTTTTGTCCGCCAGAAAAATTTTCTTCCTTATAGCCAGATTGATTAGAAATGGCACTCGCTAAAACACTGTAGATATTTCATATTTCACAGACATATCTCGATCAAAAAATTTTTCATGGACTTTACTGCCAGAACCAAATTATTATGTAGAATACGATGGTTGAATGGATCCTAAAAATCATTTTCAAGTCCCGTTATACTAAGCCAGTGATTTTTAACCGGTTTAACAGTTTATCGACGAGGTTTTCATTGGCTTGTGAATGAATTTCTAATGGTTCGAAAAAATTCGCTGATATTTTTTATGAAAGAGCGTACTTGTAAATGAATGCAATTGCATAAGCTACCACTTGTGTTTGTGCAAACCTTCTTGTTTACTTCTTTATATTCACCTTTATATTGTGCCTGAGTTAAATTTTCCTGCTCCACATTTTTGTGGCCTAACGCGTAATTGGCACATCAAGTAATATTTCTTTGTGTAGTGTCGATCGGTAAAAAACTGGATACCCGATAAGAGTCAACGAAGATCAAAGAGAGCAGAATAGCGAAATGCTAAGGTTACTGTGTTGAAAGCCAGGAGTTTGGCTTCTGCAGTCAGCTCAGCGAGCTTAACTGGAAGCAGTATGTGCAAAGCACTTTTATGATCGAAAGTTCCAACGTTGGGTTTATTTTCGATTGTTTATATGATTATAGATTTATTTGGTCGTATGAATACTATAAACCATAAACTCGTGAAATGTTTACTTTCACCTTATTCTTTTTAACATTTCTTCCCTATATGGCGGACCAATCGTTACTCGTTGGAGAAATTTAAATTAATATGAAGCTGCAATATATGAATTTAATTGTTAATAGTCAATGAAGTGATTGCAGCATTATAGCATTTTTTGTCACGGCGAAATTTGGTTTTCAAGTTTTGGTTTTTCGCGATTATTGTTCATTGCTTTATTTTAATTTTTATCGATTGATTAATTTAAAAAATAGCGAATTCGATTAAAAAGTTTATAGAAATTTCGGAAATCGAAAACCAAATTCGTATGAAATTTATTAAATTATTTTAATTATAATTTTTATTTTATTAGATTAGATTTCGTTGTTTTTTTGCTATTTCCATGTTTTAAATTTCGGAAATTTTGGAAATTCCACTTTTTTTATTTTGCGAAAAATTTTATTTTCACTATTTGTTCAACTAATTGAAGTGGCTCACCGCTTCAGCAAGCTGTTCGCACTTTTTTGAACCAATTGGCAAGTTTGGGGGGGGGGGGGGGGGGGGGGGGGGGATGGGGTGGGGAGAGTGGCAGAATCGGATTTCCGAGGGGCTCGTTCCTGGCGTGGCACGAACTGCCTCGCAAGTACGGTCGAGGCACGAACGGCTCCGCTGTATTATCCTCTTCGCCTACGGAAGGTTATAAATGAGAAGATTATATAATTGAATCAAACGTTTGATATTTAATTGTCGTAAAATATTCTTTTCGGTTCATTTCCATTTTTTTTTACTTTTATTGAACTCTGTTTAATTATTGGTATTCGTTTATCCGTTCAGCACTGAGATTGCGCGATGTAGTTCTTGCATACCTTCAGTATTCTCACAAATTCGCATCGATATTCGTTCCTTTTGCTTTGTCACAAAAGTCTTTTTCCTCACCGTTATGCATGATCTAAATTACTTTTAAATTACTTTGTTATTTTATTGCCATTTTTTAAAAATATTCTTTCTACTCAATGCTTTTTTTTAGAAAATTGAGACAGAAATTTACAAAGTAAATTGTGAGAAATGAAAGAGGATTTTTTTTGTTTTTTTACGCTCGTTCATTATTCCTTTTTTGTGTATTGTTGAACTGCTATAATTTATGTTTTAGGTCATATAAGATGTATCGGAATTGCTAAAGAAGATGTTCAATTTATTTTAATTATTAAATTTTTTTTTCCAGACGATTTGCTTGCGCAAAGAAAGGCTATAAGAATGTTCTCGTGGCTTGGTGGAGATTCATCGAAAAAGAAGCAACAGCAGGTCGGTAATTTCGCTTAATTTCGCTTTTTTAGTTGGATCGTTTGTCAGCAATCAATTTATCATTCTCTTTCAGTTAGATTCCTTTCCTTAGATTCCTATTAGATTAAAGCAGTTCAAATGTCCTTAACCTTCTTGGTTCCCATATTCATCAAAAATAAAAGGAGAAGATTTAAAGAAAAATCTGTTTTTTTGATAGTGTGAACTCTAAGTTTTAATGGATAATTTTCATAAAATTTCCACTTTAATTAATTCATATGGGATTTAGTGAGTGTCAAAAATAAATTTTGATTTCATTAATTTTACAAATTGAATCATTTTTAATTTTTTTCTCTCTTATGACGGTTCGTTTTAATGATTAGTTTCATTTTCTTACTGGTAAATTTATAAAGATTTTCGAAAAGATTTATGGTCGCTATCATTTGAAAAAATATAAGACGACCAAGTTTTAAGTCAAACTGATTGGCAGTCAAGCACGTCTCCAAAATTTCATCTTTAATCAGTAAAAAGACCAAGGAGAAAACATTTTTTAGGAATATTAGCGGGGCAATGATTTCAGGAGTTGGAATCAGTGAACGAAGGTTTGCGTAAAATATACAAGCAGAAATTGTTGCCTCTTGAAGAATATTACAAATTCCACGATTTTCATTCTCCAGCCCTGTGTAATGCATTTTTCTAATTACAAAAAATTTACACGTTATTGTTGTAAAGTTTTATTTTATTAATACTGTGGTCTAAAATATTTTTTCATCTGCAGTTATTCCTTAACTTTTTCATATAACCGATCATGGTTCATCGGTTCAGTGGCTTAGTTACAAGAGCCACCGAAAATCAAGAATGGCTTAGGCTCGAATCCGTTCGACACTGCAGGCTTTACGACACTGTTGCCGAACGGCGAAAGAAAAAAGAGATAGAATAGTTCAGTGGGTTGTTGCTCAATCTTGGATATGAGTGCTGGTGTTCCGGCAGGAGAAACCTCTTCTTCGAAAAAAATCCGGGTAATGCCGGCGATTCATATTTCTATCGCCAAGCGACTCTTTGAAAAATTGTCTAGTCCAACAAGCCAGCGGAGCGAGTCTAACCAGCAATGGTGAACGCTGTTAGAAAAAAAAATTACAATAGATTTATAGCTGATCCTGATTTCGATGCGAAGCCAATGATACTATTGGTTGGGCAGTATTCTACAGGTAAAACAACCTTTATTCGTTATCTTTTGGAAGAGGATTTTCCTGGAATTCGAATTGGGCCGGAACCAACCACTGATCGTTTCATTGCTGTAATGTATGGTGACGAAGCTGGTTCAATACCTGGAAACGCTCTACTGGTAGATGCCAAAAAGCAGTTTAGAGCATTAAGCAAGTGAGCTTTACTCATGTATTAATGCACAGTTATAATTGCAGTTGAGCTGCAACAGAAAAAAAAATTTCTTTATAGTAATGTGGTGAACAATTTGTTTTTTTTTTTCAGATTCGGTAACGCTTTTCTGAACAGATTTCAGTGTTCAACTCTTAACAATGAAGTTTTAAAAAGTGTAACAATCGTTGATACACCTGGAATATTAAGTGGTGAAAAACAAAGGCAAGTTATTATATTTATCCTATTATAATCATGCATAAGATGTAAAAAATTTAATTGCAAGTTTTAGGACATTTGTAAACGAATGAATATGCATATCGGAAATTATATTCGCTTTTTTTGTTAATTCGCTTCATTGGTGGTAAATAGCTAGATTAAAATTTCTAGTCTAATTAATTTTAATTTTTGCCTTATGCGAATTTATTCCTTAAATTCGCTTTTGAAGTCAGTTATGCGGTTGGGGTCAAGTGATAGTTTATTTGCTTATTATCATTTTATTGTTTTTGATCTATTACACGGTTATCTTAAATTACTGAAGCGAGATCTAATTTGTGGCTTATGGCTAACAAAGTTATATAATAGTTCTTTTATTTTTCCTTGAAAGCTACTAAATTCTTTCCTATGAGAAAGTAAGTAGCGCTCGCTGATACATTTTTCCCTCACGAAATGTTTTTGCAATCAAAATTTGAATAATTTCTAATCTTATTGGGCTATATTTTTAGCAGCTTGATCATTCTTATGTTTAGATATCAGTATACCTTTAAATTAATCTAAATGATAACCTATCTCTATATTTCATTTTACAATTTTTATTTCAAATTTTTTCGGTCTAATTTTTCAATAATTTTTCATTTTTTTAATCAAAAATGCCTTTATCTCATTAGTTAAATTATATTTGTTGTTTCTGCTTATAAAGAATTTACTACTCGTCTTTTCACTGGCAGCAAAGCTCTCAACATCGATCTTTAATTTCTTTTTGTTAGAAATTCACCAAAGACTTATAGTTTAGAACAGATCGCGGATATGACTTCACCGGTGTTTTGGAGTGGTTTGCAGAACGTGTGGATCGTATTATTTTACTCTTTGATGCTCATAAATTGGATATTTCTGATGAATTCAAACGGTGTATTGAGGCTCTTTCAGGTTGATTTTCTATTTCTGATTTACTTAAATAGTAATTTAACATGGCTTATTTTGCTTGAAACTAAAAAAAAGGTAAGTCGCAGGATTTATGGAGATTTTGTTGAATTGCAGTAGGCTTTAACTTGAAAATCATTTCTCAGAATCTCATTTGATGATTACTTAAGGAAACGAAGATAAAATAAGAATCGTTCTAAATAAGTCGGATATGGTTGATCATCAACAGTTGATGCGTGTTTATGGCGCCTTGATGTGGTCTCTCGGAAAGGTTGCTCAATTTTAAAATTTGTTTTTACAATGTTTTTAATGCTTTAATTAGTTTTTTATGTTACAATATGATATATTGCAGGTTTTCAAAACACCCGAAGTGTCCAGAGTTTATATTGGTTCATTTTGGGATCGTCCACTACATTTCGACATAAATAGGAGATTATTTCAAGATGAACAACATGATTTATTTGCTGATCTTCAAGCGCTTCCAAAAAATGCAGCACTGAGGAAGCTTAATGATCTTATTAAAAGAGCGAGACTTGCTAAAGTTCATATTTTCATTGTTTAATGGGTCATTTATAATTTTTTATTCATCTTAATTGCTTTCAATTTAGGTACATGCATTTATAATAGCGGAATTGCGAAAACAAATGCCTTCAATGATCGGAAGGGAAAAAAAGAAGAAAGAGCTAATTCAGAATCTCGATAAAATCTTTGAACAATTGCAGGCAAGTAGCACTAATTGCATAAATCAAATCTTTTCCAGCATTCATTTCTAAGATAAGAATAATTGCTTATCTTCAGCGTGAGCACAATATATCAGCAGGAGATTTCCCTGATGTTAACAAAATGCGTGAGAATTTGAAAATTCATGATTTCACTAAATTCAATGCACTGAAACCGAAATTGCTGGAAGTGGTTGATGGGATGCTTGCTTCTGACATAAGTAAGATTTATTAAAGTTCAATTATTGGTGTCATTTTATCTCTATATTTCATTTAGAAATATTACTTCTTTTTTTACCTTTCTCTTTAATTTTAGTGAGGAAAATCTCTCAAATTTGTTTAATTGCCAAGACATTTTAATTTTCGATAAATAATTTATCCGTATAAATAATACTTAGTTTATCCGTTGTCGAATATATATCTCTGTTTCTTATTTTAAGCTCGTCTGATGGCACAGATTCCGAAAGAGGAAGCTGCTGCTATTAATGGTGATGCTTCTTCAGTGATGTCGAATCAGCAAGTGAATTTCCTTCGATATTTGAATACAGTTTATCTTTTCCGATATAGTTTATTTTTCGGATTATGAGTGAAGAAAAACTAAAGCCACCAGAGAATTCAGGTGCGTGGTGGAGCATTTGATCAAGCTGTGGAATTGGAAACTCCTTTCGGATTCGGAAAGGGTGAAGGCTTTGATAAAGGATCAAATGAAAGCGAATGGGTTGTATCAACTGAAAGATATAAATCGGATGAAATGTTTGACAGTTTAGAACCAGTTAACGGTAAAATCACAGGTACCATTTATAAATATCTATTAATTATTGATTCATTATTGTTAATTTTTCATTTATAGGTCGAGTTGCGAAGGAACATATGGTTAAATCAAAATTACCTAATGCAGTATTAGGGAAAATTTGGAGACTCTCGGATGTTGACAGGGATGGTATGCTTGATGCTGATGAGTTTGCACTTGTCAATTATCTTATCAATCTAAAGTTGGAAGGTCGGTTTTTTTCTTAATTTTTTTAAAATTTATTCTAATTATTTTTATTTATTTTTTAGGGCATGAATTGCCGAACGAACTACCTAAGCATTTAATCCCTCCGTCAAAGAGAGACGAAGATCCTATTTATCCGACGTTGGAGTAGGATATGATGGAATATCAGGATAGCATTTATATCTCGTGTTTCTAAAGTAATTTCTGATTCTGCACCACTTTTTAAAACTCGTTTTCACTGATGTTTTATTGATGACGTAATGTAATGATTAGATTATTTTCAATAAGCATTTTAAGAATTCTTTGAACAATGCCTACATTTTTGGAGAGAATTTCTTTTATAAAAAATTGAGGTTTTCTAATAGGCTTTATTATTAACTGTCTTTTATTAACTTATTTTTTATATATATACTTTATATATTAAGTAATTCTAAAGCATTAGGTCTAATAATGTTTAAACATCTCATTTGCATGAAAAAATAAATTTTGAACATTGAAAAAATGTGAAATTAATGTAAAAATATTTAAACCTTGTGCAAAATTTTGAATAATCGCTGCTTCATCTTGAATTTCCTGGTAACTGTTCACTTCATTTATATTTCATTCATTTTATTCGAATGTTTTATTTCATTACATTTCATTTGTTCACATTTTAAAATAATTTTCAAAGCATCACTTTTCGTATTTGGGCTCCAAGTTAATTTATTAATTTTTGATGGATTTTAGATATTGGGTGTAATGGTGACAAATTTTCTGGTCGCTCATGCTTCTTTGGACAATACGCAAACTTGTGGTTTTTTCATCGAAGCATGAATTCCATGTTATTTCAATGCTTAAGTAGTTCACAGTGATTATGTCTAGTTATGTTTTTATCTCTAATGAAAAATTTTTCTGAGATAAGTAAGCTTTCACATTTGGGGATATGAATCATTAAGGGAAATCAGCTGTTTTATTTAGTAATATTATTAATGGATCAGTTTTATTGCTTAATTATTGTTCAATCATTTTAATAAATTTTGCTCTTGATTTGCTTCGCAAATGCAGTCAGCTGAAGTGGCACTGAAAGTTATGTACACACTAATTAATATAAGGTAATTTAGGAAATATTTGCTGATTTTATTATAATGAATCCTTTTGGGTTTACGGTTAAGAAACAATGAGCTGATTGACAAGTGACATTTTGCGAACATATGAAATTAATAATTGGGCTGGCTGAAATAATTCGCGAAGCTTATTGGTATTCGATGAACTTGAAGCATAAAGAATTGTTTTGTAAGAATTAATTGTTAATTAAAACCATATCTACATATATGGTGTATTAGTTTTTCTGCCGTCTTGGACGTCATCTTGTTTCTTTTTTTCTATCTAGCTTTTTACCATTTAATTAATCTTTTGGTTGATTTAAGGTTTATCCTTTTTTTCTTAAAAAATCGTTGACAGATAAGATCAATTGAAGTTATTATAACCAAAGACTTGCTTTCAAATTTTTGCAACAGCTTTGCTAAAAGATGGTTGCCTAGACGGTTGTGATTACCTAATTACAATTGTTGCTGGTCCATTTTTAATTAACAATTGCTGAAGTAGAATCTATAGAAGAAAACCATATCCATGTGGCGATATGTTTATAAAATGCGTTAAAATGCGTTATCGAAACTTGGTTGTGAGTATTATTAAATTCTTTTAAGTAAGCAATGTTAAATACGAGAAATGTACAAAACTAATTTAGGTACACTGGGAAATTTCCGAAACCGGTTACATGATGATTCATTTGAAATTTGGCTATTTTAATATTTAATGGTTCTATGAGTTTTGATTTTTGCCCTAATTTTAAATTGTTATGAATTGTGAATTATGGATTTACAATGGCAAAAACTGCAGTAAATTTCTGCACGAAATGATAAACGGCTGTTAGGTGATTAAAGTGATAAATTGGTTTGCAAGGATCCACTGAAGGCACCCCGTTATATTCTAATACGGTTCAATTTGAAAAGGTTTGTCGAGGAATATTCCGACTTTTCGTAAATCCAGAATTTTTTAAAATGAAGACCGGATAGTAAAGAAACGAAAAATTCCATTAATCATTGCTTCAACTGCATTTTCGAGATATAAAAAAGGATTCAGCAGAAAGCAAATTTTTTTTTGAATTTCAAAGATTCAATCAAATTTTTATGAAATTGAAGAGTGGCTGACGAAGGATTTTCCATAATAAGCGGAGCGGACTTATAACATTTCTTTAGGATATCCAAATGTACCAATAAAATGGAAATCGATCAATCTCTATTGATTCGAGGAGCACCATTGATACAATAATTACAGATCACGACGCAAATAAAATTTCGCTCCAATAAGTTTGCGTTGTAAATTTTTGCAACGGTGAAATCTTGCCGTTAATTTTTTTATTATCAAATCATTTATCACTTCACTTTCCTTTAGTTTTTTACGTAAAATTTTATGGTCGATATGATTGACATGGATAGAGTTAAACTATTTAATGAAGTCGTAAAATCTGTGATCGGTTTTGTTATTCGTTGGTTTAATTTCGTCTGGAAGAAATTTTTTGCTTCCTTCCACCATCATGGCAGAGATTGCCGTTGCACTATTTGGCTATATTCTCGGCAAGTGAAAAGTAAATTATGGCTCAATCTAAGAAGAAAATCGTTTTAATTAGACAAAATCTGTATTGAATTTTGAAATATCGTAACAGTCGATCATAATCGACAATCGGCAATAATTTGCTTGATTCCGGCAAATAGTCATGATTTAGCAAAGAACCATTATTGGAAACTCAAAGACTCCTTTACGGATAACTTTTTAGGATTATCGTCCAGAAAGATCAAGATGATCGAGGCAATAATAGCTATGGTGCGATATTTGTCGCCAAGGAATGATGATGATGCTGTTGATCGACTCCATTATCTCTATACTCCAAATATTCTGCTTGCTTTTGCCGTGCTTATTAGTTTTAAACAATTCGGAGGCCGGCCAATTGAATGTATGTTTCCTAGCAAGTTTCCCGGATCTTGGGAACAGGTTTAATTATCTTTTCATAATTTCTAGATTTTGGTTATAAGAATTACTTAGACTCCACACTATTTGATTATTACCAAAATTCCGTTCAATTCTTAGTATCTTTTTGTTAAGGATTTTTGCTGCTTTCAGTTTCACCTTGTACGAAAGATCTAAGCTACATTTAGAGTTATTTAATGTATGCTTTATTACAGTATGCTGAGAATTACTGTTGGTCTCAAGATACATATTATGTGCAAGATGATGTTCATGTGGCAAATATTCCAGAGGAAGAACGTTATTCTCCTGAACGGAAATTATCGTATTACAAATGGGTGCCTTTCTTTTTGTTACTTCAAGCTGCGTTTTTTCGGTTTCCTAGTATTCTTTGGAATTATCTTTCACTTAACTCAGGTAGACAATATTCGTTCTTTCTTAATAATACAATTTTATTAGTATATTCATATTTTTTTCTAAGAATGCTTACTATTTCTGGTTAGGTTCGTTTAACTGAATTGTTAGGCAAATTTTGCCAGGGTGGACTACTTGGCGATAGAAGTGCTGGTCGGTCACGAGCTGCACCCGGAATATGTTCATATATCGTTCATAGTTCATTTATCTTCACTTACCACAAAGCTCATTTACCATATGGCATTTATAAAATTATTGATAAATTAGTTTATTTTTAAAATCTTTTAATAAATAGCATAACTTATAATTGTAAGGACATCAAAAGTATTTCCACAAAAAAGATAAGAATATAGGCACCTATTTCTCAGATGATTTGTATACTGTTCTCTGGTTCCTTTCTGTGTTTCTGCACAAAAAGCTTTATACAATCTTGTTTAAAGGAATTCGAATTCATGAAATTATCGAGAAAGCTGTAGATCGAGGCAATTTAGAAGATGCTATTAGAAAACAAAATATCGACTCGTTGGCCAGACATATGCAAAATGCACTAAAATTTCATCGGCGAATCGTCAAGTAACATCTAAGCAAATTTATTTTATTTTATGAATGATATAATCCATGAATTCAAATATTTACTTTCGAATACTTTAGAAAATTTAACAAATTTTAATAAAATTTGAATATATTTAAATATATTTTTAATATAATTATATATATTTTAAATATATCTATATATTAAAATATATTAATATATCTATATATTGTATATATATATATTAAATATATTTAATAATAAATATAAATATATTTTATATAAATATAATATATAAATCTAAATAAATATAAATATATGTATATATATATATATACATCGTCTACCTATTAAAATATATTAAATATATTTTTTCGATCTTTTGCGACTTTTCTTGCGGTAGCTTTATGCTAACTATTTTTTGGTTTTTAGGTCTTTTTTGAATTTTTGTTCTTCGATTAATTGATGATTTATATAAATATGATTACAGGCAGAAAATTGAAGTGCACAAGACATTTAAATTTTTGAACATTCGTTATTCAGCATTCTTCATCTCACTTATGTATTTGTTCACAAAAACTCTATACATGATGAACGCAGTTGCACAATTTTATGTTTTAAATAGGTAAAATATTTGGTTGATTTATTATTTTCAGCTTTCTTTTTGTTTTAATTGATTCTTTACCTTATTTTATACTTATTTTACCTAATTTATTAATCTCAGCGAAACTGAGTCCTATCTGGTAGCGGACCCAAGGTTAAGGCTGACCCATATCACTCACAAGGATGAGAAGAGAATTTATATATATATATATATATGTAGGTAGGGGATAGAGTGGCCCAGTGAGTTGTTGCTCAATTGGGAGTGCCGGTGCTGAGGTTCGATTCCCCCCAGGAGTAAACCTGTACAAAAACCCGGGTAATGTTGGCGACTCACCTGTATTTCTGTCGCCAAGGGACTCCATGGTATATTGCTCAATGTAATAAGCCAGTGGAGCGAGTTTGACCGGTAATGATGGTGAGGGTTCTTTAAAAACATATATATATGTGTATATGCTGTGGATGTTTCTTTTTTTCGCCTAACAGTTTCATTTAATTTCAATCAATCTTTTTTAAACACCTCGAATCCACATGATAAAAAAAATTGTTTTTTTTGGAACCATCCTTTAGTCAGTTCATAAGTCCTTGGAAAATTCCTTACAATTTATCTAAAATTATGTTAATATTAATCTACTAACAATGAGCAGGAAAAAAAAAACGCTTTTCGGGTAGAGAAGAAAATGTTTTCAAGAGAATTCAGATGAGTGTTAGGGAGCCTCAATAGTTTTTTTTTTGGTTTCTTCAAACCGATCGGTACGCATGGTATGGATACAATGTGGTCAAGGATATAATACAAGGATCACAATGGTCTTTTTCGGGATATTTTCCACGTGTTTCACTTTGTGATTTTTTGGTCAGCCTTTTAATGCCTTGTCATTTCCTTTTAAAGAAAAAATTTATTATTTTAACCGTTATGGTAGTTTTAAAAAAAATTCGCTAAATTTATTTAGGTTCGACAAGTTGGAAATATTCAGCGATATTCGGTGCAGTGTGTTCTTGTTATAAATTTGTTTACTGAAAAAATATTCATTTTTCTTTGGTTTTGGTACATGATTCTGATTATTACGACGCTTCTTTCGTTATCTTATTGGATATGTGTACTTACGTTTCCCTGCTTTAGTCGGTGGTTCATTTCTCAAAGTCTTGAGCTTTCCGAGCAAAAATTCGACCCTGATAGTAAGTCATTTATTTTAGTAAATTTTTTGATACGAGGTTTTAATAGCCTCTAAAGATTATGAAGGATAAAAATCATGGCACTGGAATTCATGACTTGAATCACTGAAAAATATAAAAAAATTAATTAATTAATATATGATAAATTAATTAATATATGAAATTTTATTTGCATTATCATCAAAAAGTATTGAATTATCAAGTTATATTTTTCTTAGTACGATATGGATATTGTGGACATTTCAGCCTGGGTACACAAAATCAACGAACTGAGATTATTCTACGACAGCCCATGAGATAATGGTAATAAATAATTGTCTTATCCCTGATGTGAAATGGGTTTATTTTTTTCAGCGAAGAAAAGGGAGGTTGATCGTTTTGTGTCGCAGTATCTCCGACATGACGGAATCTTTGTACTTCGTTTGGTTTCCATCCATGCAGGCATTATTTTTTGTACTGAATTAGTTCTCGCTTTATGGGCTGCTTTTTATGAAATCGAAGAACAAGTAAACTGGATTCATATTTATCTCTAATAAAACTTAGAATTATTAAATAATTCATCAAATAAAGACTAAAGCTAATTTGCGTAAGATATTCTCATATAAACGCCAATTTTTTATATGGTTGAGAGATTTTCTCCCAAACTCGAGAGAAATCAGCTTTCATTTCGGCTAAACATTTTCAAAAAGCTTATTTCGCGAACGGCGGAGTGTTGAAGCCGAATGACGAGCTGGTGGAATTGCAGCAAAATCGGTCTCGACAAGTCTTCTATTCTTCAGAGTAAACTGCTCTTGCACAAAATTGCGAAATATTGCTGTGGTCTGATAAATTAAATAAAGCTTATTTTATATTAATAATCATGCTCTATAAAAATTTAAATAAACTCCAAAGATTGAAAAAGGATCACGTTATTAAACCTTGAAAGTTGCAGAAGCAACGTGAAATGGAAGTTCAAAGAAAATTTCAGTTTTCTGAAGGGAGGACGTCACTTGACGATCGCATTGACAACAAACGTAACATAGCGCGTAATAGGAAAAATCTTGCTCAGTTGGGTCGGTTGGATTCCGAGCAAAAAACTACACTGTTTCCAGTGGAGTCTGAACAGGACCCTTAAAATATAAATGTTTAAGTAATATATTTTTTTGGTTTTTCGTTTTAGTTAAAAGAATTAGAATTTCGAATAAACCGATTTTACATAAAACGGCATTTGTTACTGAATTAAAAAAAATCGAGCTTGATATGAAAATTGGTAGATAGATAGATTATTAGATAATTATCAGAGAATTGTGAGTTTTAAGTATTAAAGTTATCTGATAACTGATGGAGTGGAAGGCAGAAAACATTTTCTGAATCGATTTTTCATTTCTTCCATTTCATGATATTTTTCATCATTTTTCATTTCTTAGTTGATTAGCTTTTCCTGATGATCCTGATATTGATGATCTTTTTTATAGTACATTCGTTTTATCACTTCTATATTTCTTTCTTATATTTTTATTTTCTAGTTTTTTCAAAGTATACTTTTAATAAAATTTTTTTGTGATACGGTTAAGTAAACTCGATTAAGTAAACTCAATTTCCATCACATTTTCTCGTGATCGACCAAATAGTGTAAATATAAATCCTCAATCTATGCAAGTCTATTTGTATCTGAATACTTAATAGATAAATGGTCGGCAAACATTTTAATTTAGATCGTAAGAAGCAGCTGATAAAACTATAATAGCCAAAAAAAACATGTCAATAAAGAGGGGCTGATCGGAGCTAAGAAACATGCCATTGAACAGAAATGCCATATAGGTGTTCTCATGTCGAAAGCAATTGTTTTATTAAAGGGAATATTTCATTATTTGGGCGATGACAGAGCACAATGATAAGATTTGTGGTGATTTGAGGAAATAAAAAAGCCTTTTTTAAAGTGTTTTATTTTGAAAATTAAGAGCAGTCTGAATCACTCATCGAAAGAAATGTGTAAACAAAAAATCTATGAAAATCTAGAACCGTCGTCTGATTGAAGAATCCTATAAGTATGTCATATGACATATTTATAGGAATACGTGAAAGACAGGGGTTATGAATCGGGATCGACGAAAAGGGTGCCACGGAGACACGCAAAAGTCGGAGAGTGCACCATGTAATCCCGTTTATAATCACTGGGTGGGTATTCCTATAATAAGAATGTCAACATACTGAATTTAACTAATGCATATCGATATTAAAGTATGTTGACATATTTAAATTAAACACATGGCTTAGGCTTAGGAGCCCCTCGTTTTATAGTAATGTAACTGTACCAACTAAAATTTGAGATTTAATTAAATCGATAGCCATAAAAATTTTTAAATTGGTTTTGAATTCTGTCATTTTTTACTTAGTCAGTGGTACACTTTTTAAGAGTTCCAAAAAAGATGCATTTAATCAAAATAAATTTTCATGAGAAGGAAAAAAAACAAAAAAGTTCTACAACTTTCTAAAACTGCAATGAAACATTTTAAAATTACTGGTTTTCAAATGCAAAAAATTGTAAAATTTTACTTTTACAAACTAGAAAAAGATAGAAAAAGATTTGGAAATGCTTCTTGTATTCTGAAATATTGTAGTGTTTTTTCATGCAAACTCAATGAGATAAGATCTAGAGCATCCGAATGGTATATTGTAAATTTTCATTTTAAGCATTGTGATCCGTCCTCTGCCTCTGATATACTCTTCATATAAAAATCCGAATGGTACCCAGTAATTTCAACCCACTTGCTGACTTATCCTAATGGCCTTGCTAGAAATTACTGTTAGCAACTTAATAGTGATAACTAAGATAAAGTAGATACGATTTATCAAAAACAAATTCATCCTTATTCACTTTGCAACATTAATCAGATCAATAAAAATTAACAAAGAAGGAAAAAATGCCGAGTATTGAACTGCACTTGTCGTTTATTTGATTCATATTTGTAGGATAAAGCAAGAATGATGGAATTTACATAAATTATGAAAACCTGAATTTTCCGTTAAATCTGTGGTTTGCAAAAATATAAAAGCGAAAATTTTACTCGAATTATGTCAAAACTATTAGTCGAATTGCGAAAGATATCTGCAGATCAGATTTTTTTCATTATTCAAGAAGTTAAAAACAATCTTTGTGAGCTTTGCTGAAGCATTTTTAGTTTAAACAACATAAAATTGATGAAAATATTGGCAAATAACTTCGCGTTAGCTCTTAAGAATGTTCTTGGCGTTATTGGTTGTTGGTTTCTTCCACTTGCCCATCTTTTATTAAAAGAATTTCATGATTATTTTTTTATATGCGACTTGAATCTAAATTATATTAAATTATATATATATATATGTATTAGCGCAGTCTGTTTTTATTATTAATGTATTATTAAAGTTCTTTTTAATCAGTTACCACAACCGACAATCTTGAAAACAAAACTCAGTGACTGAAAAAAAATGAGAGTTTGAGCATAAGGTTTCATTTTTGTTTCTTAAACTCTGATTAATTTTATTATTAATTTTATTATTACACTTCTAAGGGTAATAAAATATAAAACCCGATATAAAACTGGTAATTATTTATCATGGTATTTAATAATAGAAATATAATGTAAGAAGCTAAGAAGGTAATTAAAACAAAGTAAGTTAGCGCTTGTTATTTCTTAATTAAGCTCACTGCACTTACTGACATTGCATTCAGAATTTTTTGCTAAGAAGGCACTTGTAGATAGAAACACAAGTGAGCAGCCAACATCACTTGGATTTTTCGATGATCATTCGTATATTATATCATGCAAGACAGGGGAATATTTCGATTCAGAACTATAATTTTTGAATATCGTCTTTGGCGTACATTGCAAGATATAGGCATATTATTTTCAAAGAATTCTTAATAATCTTGCGATTCGACCAATTTTTATTTTTTTGCTTTTTTTCTTCGCCTACTGTTTGATGAGCATAGGTATGCATCCAGTGCTATGAGTAAGTAATTAAATGGATAAGATTCATCGTTATTAATAAATTATTATAGTAACCAAATTCATCAAGTTCATCTGCCTTCAGTTATTCACCATTTTTTCTTTCGTGTAATTTTTTTTCAGAATTCCGAGTAAAAAATGTATTCCAATTTTTTAAAGATATTATTTCACCATTTTTGTATTGTTGCTCTGACGTATAGGAAGCACAAAATTAAATTCACTGAAATTTTATTTATTTGCACCAGAGAATTTTATTTTTCGACTTTTTCTGGAGTTCAAAATAAGTTTTATATGAAAGATAGATGAGATTGCTTTTTAAATAACGAAAGATCTTTCGAAGACTTTCATTTTAAAAAAATCCGCATTATTTTAAAATCTATTGTATTTTCTTTTGATTTGATGGTTGAATGAAAAGAAAACTGCAGATTTCAAATTTAAATAAGCAATTATATCATTAATCTATTAAATCCGTCTTTTCTAATTTTTTCTGAATAATTCATCCAGTAGTTATCAAAATGAGAGAGAATCACATGCCACATAATATTTAATTTTTAGTTTCAGTTTTAATTTTTTATTAAATTTTTCTCCATCAGTTTACGCAAATTTATTTTGATTTTGATTCGATTGAGAATTTCATCCGCAATCACCGAAGTTTTAGAAATAAAGATTTTGTAAATTAAAAATTTACCGCAAGTACAAACATCGTTTCAAGTTGATTTGATTTCAAATTTAGCTTATATTTTATATTTAATTTATACCATTAACCCTAATAATCGTGTTGTGAAGCAAGAGTACATATGAATGTTGCCTCCAATAGAAGCAAACTTATGTTTGAAAAAGTTAGGTGGTGAAGATAATCACCTCTAGTTTAATCGTCAAATGAGACTATCTCGCAAAATTTTTAACCACATTAACAGAGCTGGAACCAGAAATACTGAACGTTACCCACTGATTTTGCTGAAGAAAATTTTTTAGATTATATTCCTCAGCTTTTTGTGCCAGTTGTTCTCCCAAATTCTATTGAATAGTAACTACTATAAAGTTTATCATTTTAATTGTTCTTAATGTTTTCGTCCAAGTACTCATAAACATGTGCTGAGCAATTAGTCAGGATATATCAATTTCGTTAAAATTGATATTTTGCATTTTCGATCTCAATTTCTTGATAGTTGTTCAGGAAATGGCGGTATTAGGACATCAGATGGTTATAAGAAAAGTTTAAATGAGGTATCGCATTTTGGTGAAGTGAATCTAATAAAGTGTTTCGATCAGGCTTCGATAATTATATTGGTTCTAGATTGGATGATCAGCTAGAAAATTTCAGCTTGATAAATTAAATCTTAGGTATAATTATCAATAATTCTGCATATTTGCTTTAAAAAAATTTGTAAATTGTTCTCCATTTTCATTTCGGCAAACGTAATAAATTTCTATAAGATTCAAATTCAGGAGAAAAAAATTTTAAAAACCTAAGATGTCAATGGACGCAGATTCTCAATTCAACAATTCTCGTGAAGGTAGCTGTGATAAAAATCAGTATGATGTCGAAAATAAATTACCAGATACCAACTGTCTTATTAAAGGGCGACAGTTTTCATTCGCAGTTGGCCGTCAAATTGCACGTGGAAGGATGGGTGCAGTATATGAAGTATGAATATTTTTTCGCTCTGGGTTCACCTTAGCAATTCGGAATATAGGCCTTTCATGTTTAAGCTTTTATTGCCGAAATAACTATATAAATTGGTGTTCATGCCATCGAAATTTTTTTAAATATTGTTATTGCATGTTACAGTTTACTTTAAAGAAGCCATTTTATTTATTTAATTTTAATTAAATTTAAAAAAAATATTTAATAATTGAAAAATTGTTTAGTAACTAAATACTTAATAATAAATATAAACATTTATAACATTTATAAATGATTACATTATAATACATTTATAAATATAAATTCACAAATTTTTATTTCAGGTTCTTCGAAGATCAGATGGCAGATGTTTTGCAGCCAAACTTGAGGTCTGTGATGCACATTTTCATGGAATTAATATGGATTACACTATATTAAGCCAAGCAACAAAAGCAAACTGTAAACATATTACTAAATTAATTGATCGCGGCAAAATCGAAGGACACTTCAAATTCATAGTTATGAGCTTGGTAAGGAATAATTTTAACCATAATCTCGGTTATAAAGTGAATTTTAGCTATATTATTGTTGGAGTTGTTGAGAATGGTTATTGATGAATATTTTCTGCAAAATGGAAATTTTCTCTCTCTTTTTCAGAGAATTCAGAATATATGTAAATTAAGAGTTTCGCAATTTGATTACCATAGACGATGTTGATGAATTTTTTAAAAATTAATGAGGAAAATTTTGTCATAATGGAATGCCTTTCCCTTTAGTGATTATTGCTAGGATAGTTCTATGGAATTTGAATTTTTCTTCAAATTTCGCTTGATTTTAATATTTGTAGTTAGGTGACAATCTTCATAAATTACGTTTAACGTTTGTGGAACGTCATTTCTCCCTATCAACTGCTTTGCGGCTTGGCATACAAACTTTGGCAGCCCTAAATGAATTGCACACTCTTGGTTTCGTCCATCGCGATGTTAAGGTATTGAGGATTGATATATATTCATTTTGCTAGAATTATAGTATAGAACTATATCACTATGCAGAATTTGAGGCCATTTAGAAGGCCTGTACATAAAAAATTTCGCACTAGCAGTGATGTGAGTTTCAGTGAAAGGAATAATTTCAATAAGTCAGGCTAGTTGCTGAATAAAGTTGCCTAATGTCTCTTTGAATCCCTCTCCTTGTAGTAGTTTATTGCTTAAATTATCTGTACGATGATAAAAGGCATTTCAGTATGAATAAAATCTAATTTAGATTTTTTTTAGGCATCAAATTATGCCCTGAATGGTGATCGTGGGCCTATCGTTGTCTATTTAATAGATTTTGGGCTATGTCGAGCATATCGTAACTCAGAAAAAGAAATAAAACCAGCTCGTGATAAGGCACAATTTAGGCAAGTTATATGGATATATATTAACGATTTATATGTCGAAAAAAATTCTAAATTGTTATTCAATTTTTAAGTCTTTTAAAGCCTTTTGGTAATTTCCCATCATATCGAAAGATATTTGTAGAATTATTGATTTATATTTTCCAGAGGAACGACTCGTTACGCTTCAGTAAATGCGCACAACGAGATGGATTTGTCACCGCGTGATGATTTAGAATCTTGGTTTTACATGCTGATCGAAATGATCTGTGGTATAACTCATATTTAAAGCATTAAATCATTTGCTAAAATAAATCATTTAGGTATGTTATGGTCTAAATAGATCGGTTTTCTACAGCGAGTAAAATATTTACTTATAGGATTTTTACCTTGGAGTGATCTTCATAAAAACGAGCGCTCTGAAGTCAAAAAAATGAAAGAGGAAAGTCGAACTCATGATGGAATACAAGTTTTACTAAAAGGATGCCCAAAGGTGTTATTTGTAGATAGCAAAGTTGTCCATTTTATCATTTTTTTCGAATTTCAAGATTTTCTTTAGTATTTTATATATTGCAGTAATTATTTTTATTTATCACCATTTTAGAAAATGCATAAATTTGTAAGTTTCACTTTTCCCACAATCACTTGAAATGATAATTTAAGCAACCACTCGTCTATTCTGCCCTCAATTCTTAAAATAAAAGGAAATTTTAAATAATAAAACTAAATCTTACAAAAACGGCATTCGGGCGGTTCTTTTATTTTGTTTAAAGTCCATCTAAAACAGAAATATCGTTAACGTTAAACAATGGAATTTTCAGACTGAGTTCCGTAGAATCCTTCAGTACATCGATGGATTAGTCTATCATAGCCAACCGGATTATAATTTCTTAACACAGTTATTGCAATTAGCCATGAAAAACAATGGGCTTAAAATGGATGATCCATATGACTGGCAAGAGTAATAGCTTGGCCATTGCCTTAAATGGATCACTGGATATTCTTTTCAACCTCGGGCACTCGATCTGTCACTATTCATTTGTTCTTTGCATCATGGTCCAACTTCATTTTGTTCTTTTTTTCACAAATTTCATTTGATAACCTTGTGCAATTATGTAATTTATATTCTGCATTTAATTATCTTCTTTTATTTCCTGCATTAATTTATTATCATCAGAAAATTTAACAAAGGTCCCAAATTTGATTTGTTTTATTTGCTGCTAGGTGATGTCTTGTTAAGTCTAACGCATAATTTTATTTCATTCCTGCTTTGGATAATGATGTGAAAAATGGCAAAATTACTCTTATAGTTGTTAACTAAGAATCTTTCATTGAAAATTTCATCGGAACATTTTACTTTCCTTTATTTATGCAAATTGAAAAATTCAGTCAACAGTCTTGTAAATATATATATATATATATATATTTGGATGTATTACCGATTATATTGTACATGCTTATATAAAAATTTCTATACAAACAAATGGATTTCTGGTACACCTAGATTTTTTTCAGTTGTCAAACAACGATTAGATATTGTTCTTCCTCTTCTCTTTTTGCGTTGGCTAGCCACCATTACTGGGATACAGTTCTTTATCTAGAATGATACTTAGGGAGTGAAGTACAAATGAATAGACATCGTTTGCAATAATTTGAAAAAAATTCAGGTAGATGTACAAAATACTCGTGAAAACTTATGCGATCTCCGTATGATCAAATTCAATTAGGCTGTGCTGTACCACATAAAGCATTAATTTGAATCCACTTAAGCATATCGTAACGCTTTGTATTAAATCTTACACTATTTTTAACAAATTTCAATTATTATCAACTACAGTTGCATAAGAATTGATAATCAATTTGAAAGTTATATCAAATTAAGTCAAATTTAAATTATGCATGAAAGTAATCATAAGGAACATATGTGCCAATTTTTTTGAGCTTTTCCGCATGACTTCTTCTATATGGACCATGTACTTCTTTTATCAGCCAAAAGCTATCTTCGATTTCATCCTAAAATTAACAATCTTCTAAATATTTATGATATCGAGTTTTCATCTCGGATTTAGCTATTACTTCTACTCAAAAAACTGAAAATGGGATTCTAAAAAAACACAGATCATGTGTTTCGTCATAATATTACTATTTGTACGGTAGATATTATTTACTTACTTTTGAAGCGGCTATTTGTTCGAAATAAAGGTGTGTAGCATTGAAAATGTGCATACGACTGAACCCATAATTAGATGAACGGAATGCACTCCATGGAGAGGGATGCTCTACGAATGGATCCGTGTTTTCTTTACAACCCTCAAAAATTTTTGCAGTAATACTGGAAACAAGCCAAAACGATGAAGTCATTAATCAATTCGATCAATTTCGATGAAAAAAAATCGTTCGATTTTTAAGATTTGGCTTTTTCGAACAATCGTTGGGAGCAATGATTTAGGAACAAAGGATAGGATCAATAGAAGCAATAATTTCCAGAAATAACGAACCGCTGATCCACTGATGACATGGACAGGTGCTGGAGGATTTATGTAAGGTCCTCTCGTTCCATTGTAAATCTGAAATTAAAATCTTCACGTCCCTGAACTTGCCACATTGGACATTATATGTAAGGAGCAAAATGATAACCATTTGTATCCTAGTTTTTGATGTAACTTGATGAAACTTTTTTCATCCATTTCCTCTCAAATTAATGAATTTTCACTTGAGGCATTTTTCTTTAAACTTATAATTTGCATTGATTTCCATTTAATATCTTGATCAACTAACTGTACGGTTATAAAGCGGCCACATTCTCTCATAAGAATGTTCATGCGCCCATATTTCTAGGTCTATACCATAGGTATAAAATAATTTTTCAAGGCCATAATTATGCATACCAGGTAATCCAACGCGCACCTAAAGCAATGGATTTGCAAAATTGTGAAAGTGTAAAATTACATGAGCATTTGAATAACCGAAGAAAACTGAAAAACTGAAAAACATAGATATAAAATTTTCAAATAAGATAAAACCGAAAAGAACTCAAGCTAGAATCACGATTCACAACTAACCAACGATTCATATTTTGTGCAGTCATCGTCGTCGAAGTTTGAGCAATACATCGGCCTATGGCCCATAGTTATTATCCAAGGTCTTTCATTTCGATTCTTAGTGGCGCGCTAAATTTAATTTTAGTTTTAAAAAATTTGAATCTAAAAATTTGCTAAAAGAGCTTCAATAAATAATTAAATAAACTAAAATTAACAAACTTTTAAGTCAGCATTAAGCCAGTTCCATTGATTTACAATTTGTTCCAATCCGTAATCAGTGAAGTAATAAAATTCAGTGGAAAACGCTATAAAGTGAGCTGAACCCAAATCAAAGCTAAACAGTCAACTAAATTTAATGAATGCAAAGGCAAATTAATGAATGTTATAGTAGAACAGATGGACATTGGAAAAACATATGCAGTTTACCAAATTTCATGCGAAAAAATCATTTTCAATCATTTTTTACTCGCGTTTGGTAAACAAGTGGCGAAAAGATGGTTCATTCGACGAGAAATTCGCATTACTAATTTATTCGAACATAAAAAGGTTAGAAGCAGTTAATAGTAAGGCAATGCAACAATAATGCACTTGTTGCCAAAAAAATAAAATAAAATAATCGTTCTCAAAATAAAAATGGTAAAAGTATTATAAAGTGAAGAATTATGAAATAAAAAAAGACAACGGCTTAAAGAGAATGCGATTGTCAGTTGCACCTGTAAAACAAATTGTGTTCACTGTCTGGCATTGTATAACGATTCACAAAATGCGAAAAATTGTAAGCATTTTCATGATTTCCTACCACAGTCATATATGGTATATAAGCGGCCACAGGTTCAATTTGGCGGCCAAATTGATCACCGAATTTCCCATCATCCTTAAATAAATGAAGTCATTAATTAGTGTTAACTAATTGGAAAAAGATTTTAATATTTCTTTACATGCAAAGATTCTTCAAATTCCAAATTCAAGGTGCCTCAGCTCAATCGCTGAAAAATTTGATTAATTCAGGTTTTAATTTAAAAATTCTATAATATTGGAAATTTCTAAAAAATATAAGCAAAGAAAGTGACGATCAAAGCCTTTTTTGCTGAGGGCAATATCAAAATGTTTTGACATTTCAGGCGTTTTTTCTTTATAGAAAACAAAAGATAGACGAACCGTATCCAAATTATAAGCGATATCACCTGAAAAAAGAGATAAATACTAAATAACCATGATCGGGTTGAAAGAGATAATTCATGTTATAAATATTTACTGACCAATGTGAAGAACAACATCGATAAGCCCAAGCTGGGCTTCCTTTTGTATTTTCCCCAGAGATCTTGCATTCTCATTGCCCAAATCACCATATACAGCATAAATAAAGCCACCATCGGATCTTTCAGCGAGAGCTTTAAAGGTGAAAATCGGACTCCATCCATATTCAGAACCAACGTGATATACTGAAATAAATATACCCGACATATGAAGATAAAATCCAAGAATTATTGTATTGATGCATCGTTTATCTGATCTATTTTCAAAATTAAATTGAATAATAAACTCCATACTGCTTATTTTGCCCGGCATTATTGCCGGAAGCTCCTACCTTATTGTGACGTATTATTCAGGCCATTAAAAATTATTCAAAATTTTCTTTCACTCAAATTTATCCTTATTAGGAACTTAATTTTTCAGAAACGTCACACATCTTGATAAACTCGTCTCTCATACATGCAGTATTGATTCAGTATTGCGTCGATTGGTTAAAAATAATATAAACGAACTAACTGTATCGAGTGCCAGGCTTAAGGTTCGTAAGTAGCACTCTATGTACATATCTTTTTGTCCTGCTGAGACCGCCATCGATGAACAGCGATGTATTGCCCATTTTCGACCACATAAATTTATCAGTCCCGTATTCCACTATAGAAATGAATGTATCATCGAATGTTACCCACGTAATCCACATAGATGTCGGGTCTCCTGAATTCTCCATTGTTCAATTAAATTTCTAGCATTAATTACTATTCTTCACGATGAAAAAGATTATCATCCGTACATAAGGAACTTCATCGCATTTACCTCCATAACTGAGAGCAACTTGCTCAGGCTGAGCATAAGACGGTCCTTGATTAGAATCTCCTTTAATCTGCCACCACGTCACCCGTTCTGGATTTAAAGAGTATCTGCTAGCATCAATAGATACAATCAATAAAAATAAGATCAGCCGCATTAAATCTCTGGAAAGTTTGTTCTAAAATTAATCAAAACACATGACCTTAGTATGTTGGTGATAGTTGATCAATAACTAAGAACCAATTGTCTCATTAATTTATATGAAAATCGCGTAATTATATTAGCAAAAAATATAAAATCATAAGAGTATTGTATTTCATCAGCCATGCAAAACATATAAAAGTTTGATTTTAGGATTGGCATTTATTCGCAAAAATGCTTGTTGGCCACGTACCTAAACTCGTTGCCTTTTAACTAAAGAAAATAACTCTTAATGAATTCTGAGAAAAAATTTATGCACATGAAAGATTCCGACTTCGAAATGGAACGATTTTTCGTTTTTTTGCTTTTAATTTGCTTTTTTAGATGACAATTTTCTAAGTTATAAAATACTGGATTCGAAATATAATTTTAACAGATCATTTAAAAAAACCTTGATAAATTCTAAACCAATTTGTTGGACCATAATAATGATAAATTTGCGTTGTAAAGTTTTAAATCATCCCCTTTGTTGAGTTGTATAGTATCGAGTAGTATCGAGCTGCTGTAATGAAACCACACTTGAAAATAATTTTATTCATTTATTTGCCAAAGTAAACAATTTATTTAGATCCGCGTTCGCCACAATCACGAATCAGTCAAATAATGTATACGATCTATCGTTTTGTGTTACTCGTCAAAGCGAACACTCAATGGAATCCTGTATTTATTTTCATAACTCTGCTTACGACCAGCGTCATAAAATAATGTTTTGAAAATAATCAGTGGTTAATCATTCGTTTTCCGGATAATTGAAGGAGAAAGAAATTTTGCTGCGTTTATACGTTCTAAATGTCGTTCCATGGCAAGATTTCGTGACAAAAATATATTTTTTTCAGAAAGAAATGATTAAAAGTTGAGATAAGGAAGACCACTGCTGTGAATAGAATAAGTCAGGATACAACTGATTCTCATTCATCCAAATAAATCCTGAATAACGGTAGATTATAAAAAAATCAATTATCTATGTATATATTCGCGCTGATGCTCATATTTTGTACGATTAATGGTAGGTGCACGAAAAGGCGAACAAAAAAAAGCTCATCGCGGCCATATGATCAATTATTTCAACGAAAGGTACGACCACCTTGTGCTAGTCATTCTACGCTGACTGCTGCTGAAAGTGATTTCCCAATCTCCCAAAAATCACAAGACATGTAAATGAAAGGCTGAATTGCTACTGAAGAATATGATCGTATCATCTGAAACTATTTGGCTTTTTTACTAAGAGAATTCTTAGTGTACAAGATTTTCTGTTTAACATTTGTGCCTTTATTCTTCGATATTCTAAAGAGTCTTGAGCAGACAGGATTAGAGATTTATGAACTTAGTCTGGTCGTTAAATTTTTGCTTAGTGATTTGATGAGACAAGATTTTAATAAACGGTAGGGAAAGAATTTTTTAATGGAGTTCTTGTGAGAGTTATTTTGTCATCGTTGTGTTATAATTATAAATAAATAATTTTAAATTGGCAAGAATCTAGGATATAATTTAATTATCTTAATTAATTGGGGATGGGATGGATTAGTGGGTTGTTGCTCCATTCGGAGCACCGATGCTAAGGTTCTATTCCCAGCAGGAGTAAACCTGTCCAAAAATCCGGCTGATGTTGGCGACTCACCTGTATTTCTATCGCCAAGGGGCTCTCTGGCATATTTGTCCAATGCGACAAGCCAGCGGAGCGAGTTTAACCAGTAATGGCGAAAACTCTTTAAAAAAAAAATTGTCTTAATTAATTAGTATTGGCCAATAAATAATTAATCAGCAAATAAGTAAGAACAACCTTATTATTTATTACTAATCTCGATTTTTATTTTGTCGATTCATATGTTGGATCTACGGTTCGGTTTGTATTTGCTCAAGAAGTCGATCAAACAAAAAGTTTGGATCTCTCTCTATTATATTAAAACTTTTTTATACATTTTAATCAAAAATAATAAGGTAATACTAATAAAATATTAATAAGAAAATACTATAGAATAAAAGTAATAAAAATAATAAAATATTTCTTAAACCATTGAAGAAATCACGCATAACTGCATAATTCTTTCAAAACTTGATTTTATTTATTAATTTTGCAATTCTTTTAAAATTTGCCCCCCTAATTTTCCTAAATTTTTCACATATTTCTGATTATTTCAATTAAATTTTGATCACCTTTTTGCATTAAAATTTTGATGGGGAAATTTGAAATATTTATTTTTCATGATTATTTTCACTTAGCTTTGTTTTGGTCTATCTGCTCTATTTTGCTTAATTATTTTGGTTGCAATTTTCGATGAATTTTATTAAATTCATTCGAATGGTTCCCATTTTTTTCGACTTTCCTTTTTTGTTTGAATTTTGCAATTTTTGGTATTAAATCAGCCTTAAATTTGATTTTAAAAAAGTGTAAATTTAAGAGAATTAAAATTTTTGCATTTAAGTAAAAATAATGGTTCTAAAACAATTTTTAAATTACAAAAATATATCTTATTTCGGAGGAAAGAACGTTGAATGTTTTTGCTAAATTATGATTATTCTTTGCCAATTTAATTTGTTAATGTTCATTAAGTTAACTTTCATTAAGCTAACTTCGATTTGATTCCACTTCGAATTAATTGATTCTTCCAATTGATTCTTCTTTTTTTCCTTTAGAATCATAAAAAATAGTTTAAAAAAGCTTGATTTCGAAAAAAATCTGACAAAACTCATTTATCGCTTAGGAATTTCATAACTTATTTTAACTACAGCAGTAGGTCGTTTATTCGAATCCCTACCTCTTCTCTGCCCTACTTTTCATACAACTGACAGTGCATCTGTTTTGTTGGATAAAGAATTACGGATATCTTATTAACCTGTTAATTTTTACAAAAGTTTCATGGTAAATACCATTGAAATTTGGTCGATTTCGATGAAAAAATCAATCTTCCCTTCACTGTCACATTAAACCATTTAAAATTAGGTCTCCTGTTGTTGGTTCGTTTGAATTTCATTCTCCTTTTCCAGAAAATCGTTACAAAATTTGAGCGAAAGTTTTCTCCTTAAAATTTTATCGTTTCGCAATACGTTTTGCATTTTGCTAACTGATAATTAGTGAATTAATCTGGTTTAAAAAAGTATTGTATACACAAATCTTATGATTTTTTCGTTTAATTCGAGTTTTATTTTTTCCATTTAATTTTTCATTCAACCTTTTTGTTCGACTTATCCAGAAACTTCAATATTTCTGCTACACTGCTGAAAAATAACTCGCATTCGATATTATAAGAGGAATAGTGCAATTAAGATTGAAATAATCGGTGCTTCCGTTGTCCATTTTTTTATAGATAATGATAATGGAACTTAATGATAACTAAATTATTGGCTAAAACTTCAAAGCCATATTTCAATTGGATTTAAATGTTCTTTAATGCTTAAAGTTGCAAGTATTTTCATATATGCGGGTAAACTTATTACTATCAACTGGTTTTATTTGCTGTTTATTAGCTCGTTGATTTTCGAATTGACAAATATCCGGTTTACCCGTTTACCCGTTCACCACGAATAAAAATCCATCAACCTTTCGTCAAGGTCAATTCTAGTCAATAATGGCTGATTGATTCGTTAGTTCGATTGACCCTTTCGTATATCTGAATGGTCAATAGTCGACAAGTGACCGCACGCGTACCAGCCAGTGAAGTCACTCATTGGCACCGAGCGTAACAAGAAATTGATGCTTTAATGTCACATAGCTCGTCAGATGCTCAGCGAAATTGCCTTAATATATTTGAGTTTCTTGGTGAATGGGACGAGGAACTAATTCAGTTCAGGCCAAAAATAAGTTCCAATTTAAATGTTTTTAATGCCTCAGTAATTGCAGCTATCTTAATTGCCATTTTGGTTATTGAATTTTATTTCTTTTTTCTTTGTTTTTTTCGCTCCCACTATCGGGTTTTTTAATGCATTAAAACATCTGTTTTAGCTAAGGTTTCTTGTAGGATTTGTCGCAGATTCTTCTGTATTCTTTCTTCTTCCTTTAACTACTTGCATCATTACTGGTTTGGCTTTCTCCACTGGCGGCCAGGCCAAGACATTTCCAAGCCTCTCGATCTCATGCCTTTCCTAAAACTGCTGAAACCACTCTTTTTCCATCGTCTAAACCCTTATATCGTTGGGTAGTTCTGTTCGAAATCTTATCTGACCGTATCGGTTCCGATCTTCTGGTTCTCGCCACTTTTGACACCATCCGTGATAGGATTTAGCAGGCAGCGAGATATATGTCAGTTTCTATGATGGACGGCGGTTCCTCTTTATTCATGCAAATGAGCTTTCAATTTTTCTGGTTTATTAATTTATGACTGTTTACAATTCAAAATTTTAAAAATTTAAGTTTAGTTTTCGAAATTTCAAATTTTATTCCAATAATTTTTATATAGATTTCAACATTAAAAATGCATGAAACGCTTGGGTTCGTAGTTTGTTTCTTCTTTGCAAATTTTTCGCCGATTAACTCTTAATTTTGATTTTTCAAAATTTCTTCCAAAAAAATCTGTGATGTATTTGATTTATTTTGTTGAAATGTCGTATAATCGAAAATACTTTTTTAATTGTCATATTATTGATTTTAAATCTATACTGAGAAAAAACAAACAGTGTCAATCAAATTGGTGGTGTTCTTTAACCGTTCCCCCCCCCCCCCCCCCCCCCCCCCCCCCCTTCCATCCTCTCCCCCATCTTCACATAATTTCTCATTCCTTTTATATTTATGTAAAGTTTTTTTTAAAATGGAAGAAAGAAAAAGAAATAAGAAAAAAATTCTGCACTTTGTTATTGAACTAATACAAAACGTTCACAATTATTATTGCTTGAAGTCTTAAACTTTTCGTTCTGAAAATAAAACAAAACTATTTTCAACTATTCATTCCATAAAAATGATTTATCGAGAAGCAAATGGCATAATTTTAGCAACGAATAAAGAGCAAATTTAGTAAGTTACGT